ATATATATATATATATATATATATATATATATATATATATATATATACATACATACATATATTCACTAAATGGTTGGCCTAGGTATTATGTTTAAGACATGTCTTAATTCATCTCCTTTCCTAGTTCCTTTCTGAAAAGGTTAATCACATTTATTTTAATATTTCTGAGAGGCCATTTTAAACCGTTACAACTTATTCTGAGATTTGTATTCTGCAACACTTGCCTTTAAGGCAGGCCCGGTGGTTCAGTGACTAAAGGAGCTCCCAGTGCCAGCCTGGCCATCTGAGCTGGGAACCTAGAAACATGAAGGTAGCAGAAGAAAGGCAACTCTGCGATGGTGTCCCGCACACACACACAGTCACAGTCACACCGCACCCCACTTTCCCATCCCAGCACCCTAAACACCCAGCTCTTCGCTGTAAAAATCTCATTTGTCTTTGTGCAGCTAAAGCAAAAGCTCAGAGCGCTCACACGCAGCTCTGAAGGGGTAACCCTGACAGGTACAGCGATAATAAAGCTTTTTCCACTACATGTCTCAATACACATGGAGTAGACCGTGAACCAAGGGAATGAAATGTATTGAATTCTCTGGGCAAACCCAGAAGACGAGGTTCAAAACGACAGTGACAATGATGATACAGATTTGGAGTATGGGCGCAGAGTTCTTTCTCACATAATAAACCGCTTCGTTTATTTTGAAAATTGTCAAGAACTTTGCAAAGAAGTCAGTTGATTCTTTTGATTCTTACTTTTCTTATGAAAAAATGTGATAGTTTTACATTTTATGTTATGTGAGGACATTATGGATACCTCATAAGTTTAACATTATTATTTTAGGGCTAGGGGTGTGTCTCAGTGGTATAGAGCTCTTTCCTAGCAAGGATGAGGCTCAGGTTTCATTCCTAGAAATGAATAAGTACAATTATGACTGTATAAGCTAAGTTTGTCTTACATAAATGCTGTGACTTTAGTACTGTAACCTTTCACCTGTTACTGAGAAGCCATTCTTTACCAACCATAATTACTTAACAACAACTGTCAGCTGAATGGTTGTCTCGGCAACACCAGGGGCTTTTTTTCACTTTGCACTTGTAGGTGTAACTGGCTGAAGGCCGAACATTTCTTATTTTTATGGATTCGTCACCAGACACAATGCCAAATAGTTGTAAAATGGACCCGTCCTTTCAGGTCGTGACCGAAGTCATAATAAATTTTATCTGCAGTATACAAAATAATCTAAAATCCAAAACAGAAGGGAAAAATAGCCAAAACAGAAAAAAGTAAGCAAAAACCTAGCTTATTAAACATCTGTAAATATCATGTTGCCACAGTATCAGAAAGAAAGGAGAAAAAGAAGCAA